TACAATTATGAAATCATCTGCATACTGAAAAATTTGAGTTTTGTCATATTGAAGATCATGCAAAATAGTTGTATATAGATTAAAGAGTATGCGGCTGAAGCAACTATCTTGCGGAATATCACATGATTGGATAAACAATTTAATATCCGCAGACGTATTTGAAAAGGAATTGAAAAGTTTAAAAGAATTCTGCCAAGCTTAATTAAATTGACACAATCATAGACTTTGCTAGTGTTCAGGGAAACCACAACAATCATTTTACCAGCTTTTTTAAACTAGGTATGAGAAAATATTGTTCATTAATGCAAATATACACAGATTTGCGTTTCTGATAGGCATAAGAACGGACTGGAATAATGTTCCCAGTTTTCGAGAAATCCTTTCGTGTCTCCTTAATGATGGAGTTGATAATCTTTACGAATACAGATATTAGCAAAATTGATCTTAAGTTACTTAAAACATATAACTATGGGTATAAAGTTACTAGACCGGCAATTATCAATTGCATGCAAGAGGATAGTTAAGCTTCCTCCTCCACAATCTGCAGAAGTTGCCCTCTTTCTGGAATGTAAAACTTACATTAGCTCACACAATAAGAAGTATGTATTGTTGAGACTACTAAAAGGAATTGTAATCTGATTGACACTTGGAATGTAGCTGCTGCGAATACCTAAATATTTTCTCTCGTCATGGTCATTCCACACAGCTCAACCGTTTAATTCTCAATTAAAATGTCGATGACCCTTGACGTAATGCCAGAAAAAACGCGAGTTGCCACGCCTCAAAGACTGAACGGCATTTTGAACTGGCGATAAATGTGCAGAAAGATCACCTTTAGACAGACGGTCCTAAGGAAGTTGCGTGATATGAAATTTCCTATTTTCTTATCGTAATTGTTGCGACTGTGAAATAAAATGGGAGAATATTGACTTTTGCCTATGGAGACGTTCGTCGTGCTCCACTTGACACTGCTCGCCGTGCGACCACTCCGTTTACAGTGAAAGGTTGGATTACCAATATTTAAGACATTAAAAATGATGGCATTGAGAGCATTTACAAGGATGTTGCCTTTGTCGAGACTTGACCGCCATACAAGTAATGTCTAGCATTGAAATCTCCCGCTAGAATCACATTTTGTTCATCACCATCAAGAAAGTCACAAAATCTCTGAATTCCATTACGAAACAGTTGTATATCCAGACTGAGTGGAAAGTAGCACGACATTATGAAAAGATTCGGTTTAAGATTCATGGTTTTGATGATGATAATTTAACAGCAGAATTGTAGGAAATACGTATGAAATTGACGTCTTTGTTGACTAGTATACTAATACCACCATAACCATCATCTCGCCATTTGGTGACTGAAACATAATTAGAAACTTTAATTTTAAAAAATTGTCATTTTTCAGAAAAACTTCACTTAAGATATGGAAATCAATATTATTCGAATTTATGTAAAAATCCAAAAGTGGCAAGTTACATCGAACTTTTTGAATATTACATTATAAAAGCAAGATCATATATTAAATTAAAAAGAAACCCCAGCGGATTTACTCGTAGTACTTTATGTTTGATCGTAGCGAGTATTAGTACAGAGAGACATTTTTTCATCAAATTCGTTAACAAGATTCTAAAGGATACATTCTTCAAGCGCAGAAGCCAATCTAATAATTTCCAAGGAACGCAAATTGTTGTTCGAAATTATTGGCTGAGGTTTTTGAGGGGTGAGTTGAGAGAAAGTTTGGTGGGTGAACTAGAAGAGCTGGGAGAAGGTTTGGAAATAACAGATTTCCTTTTAACGACCACATTAAATTTTTGCTTGGTAAAATCTTATTTGCGTTTTCATTATCATACTTGCAGACGAGTTCTCCAATGGACGGAAATTCTCGTCGTAGGAGTCGTCATCCAGACAATGAAAGTAGTTGAAGAATGTTTATTGGGGAGATTTTTAATGCCCATAATTTTGTTGATATTTAATACCAGCTCCCTGTTCGTGCAACATTTTTTTAGAGTATTCAATCTGAACCACAGGGCAAACTCGTTGCTGCACACTTTTCACTTTGGAGACTTCCCGCAGTCTTTCCTCCTTCGCTTTCTAGAACTTGGACACATGCCCATATCTGCCGCTCGTGAAGCATTGCTTTAAGGTGGATAGTAAGTACTCCAGGGGCAAATTACAAATATTAAATTTGATTGCTTTCGGGAGAACCTTCCCCTTAAAACCTATTTGGATGCTAGTGGTTGTAAAGAACTCGTCTTTGTTGTTAAGATTTTTTCTTCGAAACCTAACAGCAGACTTAATAGGAATGTTGGTGACGGCTTTTTCGATGATCTCGTTTTACCTGCATTCGACCGGGAGATTCCGAATTACTCCAAATCTTTCCGTCAAAGCTCTCGGAATATATGCTCTTACGTTCTTTTTTTTTAAATTATCCTCTTTGACGAGCAGCGCTGAAAGCAATTTAGATCTGCCAACCATTTTTAATTCTACTACGCCATCAATGTTGGAAGTTTTTATACAATCCAAAAAAAAAGGTGCGAGTTGACGTTCACAAGTTTTCCCTCACCATTTTCGCAAATTTCAACAAAAACTACGAAACTGCCTTCCGAAAGATAGTCATACAAATTGGTATCGTGATTTGGAATGCCTTTGCCACTCAAGGCCTTTGCCAAGAAGGCTTAAATAACTACCTGTATCCGGAGCACTATTAAATCTTTGGCTATAACTCCTCCTTTGAGATATAGGTCAACATCATCCCCGCGCATTCTGGATCTCTTATTATGCTCATTCGTATGGAAATCTTCAAAATCGTCCCTATCCGGGTCAATTAATTTTGCCCCGTGTCTCCATAGCGATTCAGGCTGATGTTGTTGTAGCAGTTATCTCGGGGAATACTTACCAAACCGGATGAAAAACGAAAAAAAATTAATGTATATATATATCTTTTTTTTTCTTTTAAATTTCCAAAATTTTCTTTCCTTTTTTAAACTTTTTTTTCACATCTTTCTTTAAATTTTGTTTTTCTTTTTACTAACACCGATAAAACACGAAAACAAAAAAAAAATTGTCCAGCCGCTTGCCGAAAGTCAAATGGCGTGTTATTTTTAGTGTTGGCGTCTATCCTTTTAAAAACCAGCGTAACAGTAACTGTGAGAATTTTTTGTCATTTTTCTGTTATTGTTTTTGTACAATTGTTATTGTTATTCCCTTGGTCTTTCGACATTGATTTTTGATTATTATTTACATATTAATATGTTTTCACAACAAGCAAGCAAGAAAAAATGTTAGTAGCACGAGTCAACTTCTTTAATATATATATATTATGCGAATTCATGATATTTTTTTTGAGTGCGCTTAAACTATAACGCACAGAATTTTTATCATCTTTTTCATAACACAATAAGCAAGTCGAATATGACTACTATAAACTTAAATATTCAAATTTTTGCATAGATGTCAAGTTCCACAACTGCGCCTTCGTAAATTGCAGCGATGGTTTCGTTTATTGAGAATAAAAACACAATCGTCGCTTTAGACCATCGCGCAATCTCTTGGAAACATTAGCACATTTTGAATTGAGGAACTTGGTTACAAGGCACGGTAGGATAAGCGTCGATATCAATGTTATTTCTGAAACTTTGCAGTTTTAAACCGTAGTCAAATTATTGCACAATTTATCAACTCTGGCAACGCTATTTCTCTAGAACGAAGAAGTTATTGTAACCGAAAAAATCTCCATCGTTATAAAAATTATAAAAATTTTCCGGGGCCTTGGCTTTCAGACGCCAACCTTTGTGATGTACCATTGTGTACTTAAAAAGATGACATGTTACGAATTAAAAAAAAATCAAACTTTTTAAAAAAGCCCAGTTAGTCTCAACGAAACAGCATAAGCATCTTGGCTGTTTTTCAGAGAGAAATATTTAAAAACTTCTAGCTAGTAAAATAATGGACACAAAAATAAATATACTCATAATTTTTTGGGTTTTTCTTTTTTTTAATTTTATGTAAATGTTTCAAAAACTTTTTATTTATTTATTTTTTAACTTTTTAATTGCTTTTTTTTAATTTTTTTGCAATTGTCCACTTCCTACAGCTTCTTTGTGTACTAAATAAATTTTATACTCATGTTTAATTCGTCGAATTTCTTCAATTCCCCAATTTAAAGACTAAACTATTTATTTATGCTATTTAAGAAAGGAAATGTAATTTTTTTTTATCCCTTTTATTAAATTTTTTTTTTTTCGCAATTGTTAACTACCTTCAACATCTGTGTATGAATCTAAACAAAATTCATCACCTTTTCGATGAAAATGAACACAATCCATCACCTTTTAGATGAAAATGAACAAAATCCATCACTCTTTCTATGGTAATAAACAACAACTCAGAAAATTCTCCACACAACATTTTTATTTTGCCTATGCTATGTGTTTCATCCTGCTGTAAGGAATTTTTTCCAAAAAGCTCAGATTGATATGTAAATGGATGCATTTATTTATTTTTTTAATGAAATTCTTCTTATTTGGATGGCTCTTAATGAAACTGTTTTACTTGCTTGAAAATACCTTAACATTTACAACTGGAGCTAAAGCTGTGCTTATAGTCACGAGCTTTCATCGAGGAAAACTTTTAGCATAGATAACCGGTATGGGAAGCTTCTCTTGTTCCCTATCACCAACTTCTTCAAGAATTGTCAATTGTTTGTAATATCTTACAATAAAGGGCACATTTTTGATAAAACCTTCATCTTGGGCCGTATTGTTTAATATCATATTAAGAAATAACCACGAAAATATGCAGGTTCGGAAATCTACGAAAAATTCTTAAACTTCTTTTTCCTGCTTTTTTTTCATGTTTCATAAACTGTTGTGAAAAATTTAGTAGTTCCGCCGAAGTACTTATGAATGCAGGTATACGAACATTTATGTTCTACGTTTACTGCATATTTTACAGACTATTAAAGATTTTTTTTATTTTTCTTTTAAACTGGTATATTTTTTATTTGGTTATCCATTTGCTTCACAGTACTATACAGAACAATGAACATCAAGCAACTAAACAATAAAAATAAATAATTGCATACATACTAATCAACAGTTAATAAAGGTTTGACAAACAAATGACGAGACGAGAGAAGCTTAATAAATATTTCAAAAGCACAAAACTGAAGGCAAAATAAAAACTGAAAGCTTTATAAATGATTAATAAGTAACTATGATAAAGAGAAACGTTTTGGTAATAACTCTCCAATGCTAGTGCAAAGGACGCGGTATGGTGGTAAATTGGATTTGGTGACATACAAAGGGAAATCTTTCTTAGCAAATTCAATCAAGAATTGTCGACAAACACCACATGGCGTAGTAAATGAGTCCTCCTGCAAGGCGACCACAGCGCAAGCGACAAAGTCACGTTTACCTTCACTGAAATTAATGTATGGAATAGAACCGACAAAAATTGGAAGTTCAGATATCATACCTTACAGCCTTTGCTGCAGCTGTACGTTCGGCACATATACCAGCAGTAAAAGCTGCATTCTCAATATTACATCCTGTGTAAATGCTGTCATCAAAAGTGCGTAAAGCAGCACCTACTGCGAAATTGCTGTATGGGCAATAAGCACTTTTGCGAGCTTCTATAGCGGCTAAAATAAGATCTTGTGTAGGCGCATCTAAGGAATTCTACATAAAAAATAGTTTCTAATTAATGCAAACAAAGCTTACCTAAGGTAGAGAATTCTTTAATGTTGCTCTCATCTCTAATACCGTTTACGTGGCATTTGGACATTTCGTGCAAATGTATTAAAACATATGTAGTAAATTTTTTTGTACGAATACCTTTTAAACAAATTTTGTTATAAACACATTTTATACAAATTTGTTACTACTTTGGCTATTTTGATATCTCAGATGTGAGCTTAAAAATTCGTGCCAGAATACAAAAAAATAAATAAATACATGGTTGCAATAATGAGTATAAATTATGCGCTAAGCAGACAGATGGAATTGTTAAAAATATTTTCGGGAATCTGTGCTGATCTCAGGTGTAAAATTTCATTTCTTTATATTTTGCTTAAAACTGTTCAATTTTGTACCAGCCAACTAAGCCAGCAGTTATTTATGGTTCTTAGTAAAAATTTTAAACTGTTATTAGTTGAATATAGAATATTGATTATAGAAGGAGTTAGGAGTGAATTTTGTGGAAATAGTGACATATTCAATGTGTATGTCCTTCATTTGTTTCTGAAAACCAAATATCGTTGACGTTACAAGTGTAGAAAGCGAACACGTCCAAGTACATAAGTAGTTTGTGTTGAGAGGAAAGAGCATATCAATACGATGTCAAATGCCTGTTGACATTACTAGAACATGATAATTTCTGCAGGTAGCAGCCATTTTGTATTCACTAACCTGTATATTTCTCCCCAGTTCACAAAACGCGTGCCCCTTAGAAAACTTGGACGTGCCTTACCAAATAGTTAGAAACTACTTTCCAAATAAATCAAATGATTAAATTACAAATGGGAGCACTTTAAAAAATTTAATTTTTGTTTTTAAACGCGGACTTGTCGGAGTCCAATTCTTACTCTCTTTCTAGCTCTTTGTCCGTACTCATGCCCATGCACCGCACAAATAAAGGTTCCACCAAAGAAACCAAAACAAAAGTGCAAATAAAAGGCAGAAAAAAAATTCTGCTGACACGAGAAAAGTTAACAGTATGGTGGTTTAAGGCAAGGAGAAAGCGAAATTATGCAAGCTGAGCATAATAATCCATAATTTGGTTTGATGTTGAGCGTGAATAGATCAATTAAATCACGTTCATCGAATTCATGGAAAAGATCTCACAACATGTGCCGTAAGTTCTAACAAGATTTACTATTTTTAGAAAACAAAATGGAAAGCAGCTGCTCGTAAATATCAAATGATGAAGACCATACACAATTCAATATATTTTTGCCTCTTGTGTGTCTGTATTTATTAATATATAGTGCTCAATGTCTCTTTTTTTAGTCTAAGAATTCAATTCATTCATTAGTCTAAAATTAAAATAATAATATAATAATAATAATAATATATATATATATAATAATAATATATATATATATATAATAATATATATATATATATATATATATATATATGTATATGTATATGTATATATATATATATGTTATATATGTAAATAATTACTTTCTGAACTTTCTGTCAAACTCTATTTTCTTCCTGTACATTTCAATCAGTTGTTAAAAGGGTTTTATTTTTTTCTTTCTTCAATAAATAAATTTTTTAGCAACAAAACTATGTGTTTTGGCAAGTGGAAGAATTTATAGGCTTATGACATAGTAGGGATGATTAGAGGTTTAAATGGGGTTAGCATTTGATGAATGGCAGTTACATCCGCACGGGGAAAAGAATTTTTGAAGGACAGAAAGGCAAAAGACCAACTAATTAATCTTATACTTTTGACTTGTTTAAGGTATGCACGTGGTAAAACAGTGCAAGGGAAATGAGGGATATTTCATGTGATTTCGGCAAGGCGAGTTTCGGGAATCAAATACTAAGGTGTCTTACCTCGCATCATAAAATTTGGAGATTTAATACGAGAATTAAAAATAGCAGGAGTTAAAGTTGAGGAAAATGGGACATAGACTCAATTGTTCGTGTCACCTCTAAGTAAATGTGATGTATTGTTAACAGCAGCTCAAGACATAGATAGCGGCAAATTAAGACTATAGAAAATCATTATTAGAGTAACTGCATTCCTCTTATCATAATCTTGCCGGATGTCTTCGAACACATTGAGCATAGTCGCTGCAGCTAAGAATAAGAGAACGAAAACGTAATTGGAAACGCAGCAAAGGGTCCTAACGAGTGTATATTCACATAAGATAGAGGAATCATCCATCACCTTGAAAACTTCGTTCTTACAGCTAGTTGCATGCGTACGCCGGCAGGCCGAGTTTTCTAAAGAAATCATTGCGATTATAAAAAATAAATTATGAACATTCGGTTGTGTTATATCTTATACTTGGTGAATATTTTATATCCCTACGTCATATAAAGATATTATAAGCGGCTAATAGTAGCTTGTGAATGCTGTCAGAAATAATCATGCACTCTTGAAATCAACAGAAATATAACTTTTACCTGACAATCCTCAGAGTCAAGCCCACGCGTTGGCAAATCGGTCGCATAAAAATAAATTTTCTTATAATAAAAGTACGTCAGCAAGCTTGCGTAAGTTTAAATCATTATAGTCGTCGTACATATATAATGATATAAAAATAATGTATTAAATTAGAAGAAAAACACAGAATTGTAAAAAAAAATGAAGATTGTTCTCTTTATATTGCAGATTTTGAGGTGCAACAAAACCAATAGTAGACAAACGAACGCCCGCAAAACTTATTCTAAGAATGTTGGCGCAATGTTAATTGAAATGAAATGAAAACGAAACTCTACACGTCAACCTTCAATGTTTATTAATTTATTTTCTTTTAAAACTACAACTACTACTTAACACTACAAAGCAAACGACAGAACCTTAAAACCAATTTTTATTAAAAACCAAACTGCGAAACGTACTATGATCGTTCCGATGTTTGTCGCAAACGAATACAATCACCTGCTAACTTCGACCATACCGTTACCGTCTATCATTAGAAAGCGAGAAGTTCCATTGTGCGCGCCGCCTAAGTCAATTGTTTTTATATAAATTTTGTTATTATGGAGATGGAATTGTAATTTAATTTAATGAAATTCAAGATTCTTCGATGACATCGCGACAGACTGGTTCTTGGAATAGATGCTAGATAGAATCAAGGTCGTTCACCCTTCGATTTTTGCACATTTGAGGACGTTCAAAAGGAATAGTTGATTTTTTTTCCAAACGTCTGGACAGCCACAATATTGCAGCTTAGGCGAACCATCTGAATATGGGTTAGATTTGATTGGCAGAGATTTATGTTTTTTGGGAAAATTATAAAGAAAAGAACGCAAATTTTGGAGACTATTTACACCTCAGGAATTAATCAAAAGGCGTCGACACCAAATACAATGATACATCATGGCACAAGCTTAGTTCCTTCTTTTTATGGGAGAAGTAAATAAGGATTAGGAAGCAAAAGGCTGCTTTGTGTCCGAAGCTCTATTCTATTCTTTTAGTCCTACACTGAATCAACCATAATAATAACCAAGGCATCTACAAAATCATCGACTTCGCCTTAATAGGTCAACAATATGAACAAGCGTCAGCAAAGATTTAGTTTGTTTAGCTCCACAATCATCGCCGCCGTAGCTTTAGGTTCATGTTTACATGTGTGTACCCTTTCAATCGGTACAAGATGCTCGTTTATTTCCTGTCATGTTCGCTGTATGTTGTTAAATAAATGAATGCATAGAATCATTATTTTTTCACGATAGTCGAAATAAACATTGTCTTACTGTCAGACCAAATGTAAAATTTAAATGTCTTTAAATGTATCTTGCAAGGCATAAAAATGTACGACACCAATTACATCTGTTAGTCATACAAAAACGACAAATCCTGTGATTACACAAACAAAAAAAAGGAAAATAAACAACTTAAAATATCATAGGCGGGCAAGGTCAACCACGAAACATTTTACCCGTGTCGTTTAATGAAATTCTTTACTTATTTTCATAAAATATAAAAAATTCTATCTTCCTTTCCACGCAAAGGATTGTCCCAGTCCTCATTTACTCTCATCACAAAATTGGACCATTTTTGCAATTACTCACTATAAAAAAAAAAAACCTTGTGATCTAATAAGTCGACTTCATCCTTTCAACAATGAATCCACTTAAATACATTGAAAAATGTTTAACTAATAAGATAGATAACTTGTAACATGTTCGGATATATTACAAAAGAAAAATATTTATATATACACATATAAAATATACGCTTTTAAACAAATTGGTTTAATTTATATGATATTAAACTTACCTGTAGGGATCTTGTAACTCTTCCGTAGCGAAGTTTAAATAACCACCAAAAACGATTAGATCCGAGCCATATTAGCCACACCGGTAGAGCGAATGTATTGTTTAGCTGAATCAACTAAGCAATGGCAGCGTTCGACAGAAAATAGCATGGCAAACGAAAAGACCTGAGTGGTAATCACGCATCTGAAAGTAAACTTACCTTTTTCGTTTTTCAATTGATTTCGGGTCGCGTATACATTAACAACATTCAGCATTGGTTAATAACTATCGGTTTTTTTTGGATCACGTAAGCAGCTGTTAAATGCACTCGCTCATGTTTGTCAAATTACGCGAATGCCTGCTCAAGCCTGGCATTAGTATTGGTTGTTTAGAGTTCCATTTATAAGAGAAAATAGCTGCAATTGAAAATAAAATATACTCCCAAAAAATGCTCACTTGGTTGAATCAAATCAAAAAATTAAAAAAAAATGATTCACGAACCAAATCAAAACAAAGCAGACAAAAATTGAACTAGCCACAGAAGCAAAAATTGAAAAAACGGAAAAATTTTTCATTAAAGACTTTTTTATTATTTCTGTAGTTGTGCATATAACATAACATTCCTTATCGCCATAATCCTTTTAATCTCTCTCACGGGCATAACGTTTGCGCGCTAGAACGTTCACAAATTTATACAGGCATGCCGTACCGCATGACATTAAAAAAAATTAATAAAACAAATAAAAACGATAAGAAAAAAGATTTGAACTTGAAATATGTTAAAAAAAAATTGAATAAAAGATAAATCAAACCTTCAATGAGTTCACACTGTGTAATCCCGTTTGTAAGCTCTTCTGTCCGTCCTGTACGCCATTCGCTAGTTCCCTCTTAGTCCGTCAGTAACCATTCTCAGTCCTCCTACTTTCAATCGCGTGTACACCCACTCGTACTTCGTTTCAGCGGACACATTTTTAGCCAAGCACTTTCAATTTTAATTTTTATTCTTTTTGTGTTTTCAACGACTTAAACATCGATCATGGCTTTGAGAAAATGTATGAAAATATTCAATTTGGACTTTGTTCTAATTATACATTGGTT